TTTCATTTCTGTTTTAGTTACGCATTTGATTTTTGGTATGCGTATAGAAAATCGATACGGCTTTAAAATGAGATGTTCGGCGACCTCCAAGCTCACTCACTAGACTCAGTAGGAGTGATTTAACTGCGAGGGACAATTGAGGCTAACAAATTAGCCTCACCACTTTCAAAAAAGAACTTTCTCATGTTACGTCCATGATATCCAAGTTGCAAGTATAATCCATAGTGATTATACTTGATCGAGATCTAAGCTTTGGGGGTCGTTGACGTTCAGCTAAGGATCCTGAGTGGTCTATGCAGCCCCCCGGTCTACTCAGCCGAATACTCGAGAAATCGGGTGTGAGGGTTAAATGAGGAGCTGCACATTGCAGCAAAGTCTCGGGCGAAGAAAGTATGGTACACACTACCTTAACCGTCACTGGCTAAAAAAACAAATCCTTCGGCTTCCTGTAATTGGCTGGTTGCACTTGTGTAACAATGTGGCTGTTGGAATACTCCGAAGTAAAATAAGTGTCTTGATAAAAAATTAAAAAAAGGTGAAAATGAGGCTAACCACCTTTTGAGAGGGTGAAATGAGGCTAACAAGTATACTTTTGTTTATATTTTCGAGTTGGTTCGGTATTGTGACTATCTAATATGTCAACAATAAAGATTGATTCATCCTCTTCAAACTCAACATTTCAGAAATCGCTGAGTCTACTTGTAGGAGGCCAAAATGAGGCTAATAAATAATTCGACCGCATTTTAACTTTAATGTACGGAAACAGGTTAACAGCTCACACGTTACTTGATATCCATGTTGCACATGCAATTCCTTGGGATTATATTTAATCGGTATTTAAGCTTCAAATATTCGAGGTGAAAATGAGGCTAATCACCTTTTGAGAGGGTGAAATGAGGCTAAAAAGTATACTTTTGTATATATTTTCGAGTTGGTTCGGTATTGTGACTATCTAACACGTCAACAATAAAGATTGCGATTCATCCTCTTCAAACTCAACATTTCAGAAATCGCCGAGTCTACTTGTAGGAGACCAAAATGAGGCTAATAAAAAATTCGACCGCATTTTAACTTTAATGTACGGAAACAGGTTAGCAACTCACAAGTTACTTGATATCTATGTTGCACATGAAATTCCGTCGGATTATAGCTTCAAATTTTTGAGGTGAAAATGAGGCTAACCACCTTGTGAGAGGGTGAAATGAGGCTAACAAGTATACTTTTGTGTATATTTTCGAGCATGTTCGGTATTGTGACTATCTAATGTGTCAACACCGCATTTTAAGTTTTAACTTTAATGTACGGAAAAATGTTATAGACCCATTATAAAACTTGTAATTGTAGCCCGAAGGTTATTGAGACTTTATCGAAACTTATGTGAGGTTGGATTGAGGCTACCTTCCCTCCTTGAGGCAAAATTGAGGCTAACAGATACACTACGCAGACAATTGTCACTGTGCCAGCTGTCAAGTAGTTGCTGAGCAGCAGCAGCAGTTAGATGAAGAAAATGAAGTTGAGGAAGGAAATGTATTAGAGCTGTTGGCTAGAGTAGGCCCCTTACTTCTATGGAGCTCTCTGGCCAACTGCTCTGGCAATGCTCTCCATGGGGATTGGGCCATGTAATATCACATGATCTGATATCATGCCAAATTAGACTCTAAACTATAAAGTATAATAAAAATGGAACAGTTTGAGAAAAAACATTTTTCGTTACTTGGAAAGAGAATACTTACTCAGCTGTCAGCATAACGAATCAGACGTACCTTGATCTTATATGTACTTGTGACGGTCTTGTTTTGTATTTAACTCTGCTGAAGAAGCAATTCCCTAATGCTGAAATCGTCACTTATTACCTTGGAAGTGATCAGAATGAGCAACTGTTTGCATTTATTCGGGTTTCTTTTTCATCTGGTCGCTCAAGAAATATGGATGCGATAACTATGGCCCATGGAATGGAGAGAAAGAATGTGTACAGTGCTTTATCATTACATGAAGACACATCTGCAATTGCACATGCCGGGGAAGTACAGTTTTGCATCCTACAGTTCACCTCAAAAAGGTTAAATCTACAGGCCAGAAAGCAGAACGAGTGAATTGTGAAATGGACTGGTGGTATGATAAGCCTAGGCAAGTTGGCAAAAACGCTGGACAGGGCATCGAGGGACTGCATTCGAGAAGGGAAAAGAAACAATTTCCCTGTGTTCGCCGCAGTCGCAGATCCTGAAGAACGGAGTGGGAAGCCAATCGTCCATGGCCAAGAACTTTCTTGGGAAGCTGTAGATGATGAAGCTGGATGCCTCGAGTATGAGGACGACTTAGCTTATGAGGTAGACCTGGAGTTGATGATTGTGATGATGGAGAAACAATATCAACAGATAAATATGGAACACTATCCTTCCGGTCTTTTGAGACACTCACGCTCAATGGAGGAAGAAGCACTTTATCAACAAAATCTCGTCTTTCAAGATTCAAGGGGGACGCGTTTGGAGTGTCTTCTGATGTTCGCATATATACAATCAACCTGAATGCGGATGTTCAACAGTTTTGAAAGCTGGCAGTACAGAAACTCTTAAAGTCTTCAAATCTCAGCAGAACTTTGCAACAGGAGTGGTTAGATTTATTTCTTATAATCATGCCCGATGAAGTACTACTGCCAGGAACATAGCCTAATCAATGGATCTCCTAATGTATGGCTACTCGTCGAAGACAAATACATCAGATGCATTGTTCCTTGATGACATTCAAAATCGTTGTGTTGTCAATGTTTGTATTCTTGAATAGTGAAATGTTTGGTATATATTTGATATAATACATTTCTATTTTCTTTATTTAGTTATTTGTCATATGAATCTTTGACGTTAACGATCATTCCAAGCGTTATAAAGCATGAAACATGTCTCTTATTCAAGTACTAATAGTATTTGCGAATCTAAAGTCATCCTAAAGGTCAAATATGAAGACCTAAATTAATGGCATAAATTGGCATAAATGGAGAATTGGCCAAGCTAAATTTCCATTTATGCCATGAAATTTCTATGCCATTTGACGATTTTTATGCCATTTGTCTCCATTTTATGCCATTGGTACCCCCCCGTCCTCCTCCTTCTCAGTCCTCCTGAGTCCTCTTCCTGAGTCCTCATCCTCCTCCTTCTCCTCCTGAGTCCTCCTCCTGGGTCATCCTCCTCCTAGATCCTCCTCTTTCTCCAATCATACATCTACGTCTCCAGTGTCTCCAATGTCTCCAATTTCTCCAAAAGCTTTGTCTCCAATGTCTCAAATGTCCCCAATGTCTCCAATGTCTTCAATGTCTCCAAAAGCTGTGTCTCAAATGTTTCCAATGTCTCCAGGACATGTCTCTGCACCCTCCAGGACCTCCAGGACATGTCTCTGCATCTTATCCCCCCCCCCCCCCCCCCCCCCTTAAAATAAAGATCACCAAGTCTGTTCACAGAACGGCTGTTATAAATACTCATTCACCCATCATCTAACATCTTTAAGTGTATTAGGAGGGTAAGTCGAAGGGTTAATTCATGATTTTTCATTCGATTATAAGATTCAGATAGCTCAGCGAGTCGGCTACTTCTACCTTCACGAGAGCTAAACTTCAATTTACCTCAATCTGAACTGACTTGTACAGTGGTAGAACACATTACAACCGGGCTTATCATTTTACTTTTAAGTCAGGTTTATCCTACTCTTATCTTGGACAAAACATCTCGATCGTATCGTTATTAAACTAACTTGGAAACCATAAATAACTGTCAAAAATTCTGGGGACTTATGGGGACAAATGGTGAATTACGTCAACGAGTTGACCTCCAGTCCCCATAATTTTTAGTCCCCATTAGTCCCCAAAAGTCTCCATTGGTAGTCATTGCCCCCCCCCCCCCCCCCCCCCCCCCCCCCCCCCCCCATTGCGCTATAACATGGGTCTATAAGGTGGGTCAGACTGGTCGCTGTCTAGATGTGGAACTAGTGCCCTATAATTGGTAGATTGTATCCGATATCTTAGTAAAACTGGTACGAACCACACTGGTAGACACTAACTGTATTGTTATAATATCTTAGTATTGCTCGTGTCATCTCTTCTCAGTACACGACTAGAACTTCATATCATTGATATTATCATCACAACAATTAAGAAGTTGGTACCAAACCCTTATCAGTGATAGCCGAGATCCTTAGCTTGTAACCAGAGGAAGAATCAAGAATGTCTCAATGTCTATTAATCCACCAGCTGACTAGAGACTAGACGGACAGTGTCTATATTTTAATCTTGTAATGTAGCGACAAACATTTTAAATTTTAAAGTATAAGCAGAAGACATCTAATCCGGGGCCCGTAAAGACTAACTTAAGGGAGCTAAATGTAAGCTGAGCTACCCCACTGCTAGATTAGCATAGTCGAGAGATCTCAAGCTTAGATCTCTAGTGTTTCGCTAGAATCTAGTTATACCACTGCTAGATTAGCTTAGTCTAGAGATCTCTAGCTTAGATCCCTAGTATTTCGCTAGAATCTAGATGGATGTTATGTATTTTATTCAGAATGTTAAGCAGCAATATAACATCAACAACATATAATGGAAACGATCTGTAGCCGCGTTGCTGAATAAACTTAATAAAGAGAGCCGCTATAACTGGGGTATAACTGGGGTTTAAGCAGCAATATAACATCAACATATTGAAACGATCTATAGCCACTTTTCTGAATAAAGAGAGCCGATATAACTGGGGTCGCCAGGGAGTCCACTGAATACTCAAATGCATGTTTAACATCCGGGAAACACGAATATTCAGGAAATACAAACCTTCCCACGAGAAAATAAAAAATAAAGTTGAGAAGTTTCTCAAATAACTGAACATTTCTACTCTTCCCACGATATCGTGCTATGATATATCTAACTCTCTCTCTCGCTCTGTGATATATCTAACTCTCTCTCGCTCTGTGATATATCTAACTCTCTCTCGCTCTGTGATTTATCTAACTCTAACTCTCACCAGGTTTACCACACGCTCCACACGCCAACAGAACAAGTAGTGAGGGAACCCTCCGAACTAGACGGATATAACTACGCTAAACTAGTAGTTAACATCGCGGACAACGAGTGCATCTTGGGACTCCACTATCTCGGACCAAACGCAGGTAATGTGGTTACTGACATGGTTACTGACATAGTGACATGGTTATTTGTTGATGTTCACTAGTTGATCACTTGGTTACTTGGTAGTTGGTTACTTGGTTACTTGGTAACAAGTTACTTGGTAACAAGTTACTTGGTAACAAGTTACTTGGTAGTTGGTTACTTGGTAACAATTTACTTGGTAACAAGTTACTTGGTAACAAGTTACTTGGTAACAAGTTACTTGGTAACAAGTTACTTGGTAACAAGTAGGTAAGTTATTTAGAAATTGCAGATGACGATAGCGAATAAACATACTTTCAAACGATCCCAATAAATTATAACAGCAGCTGGCAAAACTGAAAATTAGAATTACTACATGATCAGGTAACTGGGTGCTAGAAATATTTAGTAGCTATAAATCATACCTGGTTACATTTGATTACCGTTTATAAATACACTATAATGTGTATATAGTGTGTATATAATGTGTATATAATGTGTATATAATGTGTATATGTGTATAGTGTATATATACACTAACGATTAATTGTATCTAGGTGAAATAACAGGTGGGTTCGGACTGGGTCTGATAATGGGGGCTACTAAAACAGACTTCGACCGGCTAGTCGGCATACACCCCACTTGTTCAGAGGTAATAATCACTTTTTAATAAGGTTTAAATAACTTAAATAACTTTAATTAACTCTTCGTTGAAGGTGTTTTAATCTCTTTTTAACGGAGACTCTAAATTTTATACTGAATTAACTTTAAAAACTTATATATTAGTGAAACGTTTGATTTGGAGCGAAGTTTAGAAATAAAATTAATGTAGGGGGGGGGGGGGGGGGTAATGGCCTCAAAGAGTCCATGAGCTATTCTACAACCTAGTACTGAGTGGAGTTGGGTTAAAAACATATAAGAGATACGATGATTTAACTTGTAGAAGCTTTCAATAAACATGTGTTAATCGTCGTCAGCTGAATGTGATGTGGTGGACAATGCTTATATATGATTGAGTGGTGTCAGGGATGGAGGGTGGGGGAGGTGTGGGTGGGAAAGTGAAAATTACAGTACAATGTCAATAAAAATTTAGTCTTCTGTTGAGGTTGAGAAGGAAATGCCAGATGGTCTGGACTTTAAGGATTTGGCAATTTTAGGGAGAATGGGGTCCCAGAGGGAACTACATTTGGGTGCGCGGTCTGTTCTGTTCATAGCTGGTTGTCGTATTTGTATAGCTGCGTGTTCTGTGAGGTCAAGTTGGGAGCGTGAGGTGAGGGATTTGAGGACTTCGATGTTGTTCCAGGAGATGGTGTGGCCGGTGGTCAGGGCATGATGTGCAGGGGCTGATTTGATTCTGTCTGTGGATTCGTCGATGGCGTTGTTGAGTCTGTAACATCGTTCGTGTTCTTTCATGCGGTGGACCAAGGGTCTGTAGGTCTGTCCGGCGTATTTGGAGGGGCACTGTGAGCAGGAAATTTCGTAGATGGTGTTGGGAGTGAGGTGAGTAGGGGGTGTGGTCTTCGTTTTGGTGAGGAGGTTGCGGAGGGAGGTAGCAGAGGAGTGGGTGACTTTGATGTCGTGTTGTCCAAGTATCTTGGAGATGGGTTTGGATAGGGAGGGATGGAAAGGAAGAGAAACACTAAGGGCATGTTCACGAGTCTGTCGGTTGAATGAGGCTAGGGATTGGTGGCGAGAGGGGTTGGTGAATTTCCGTTGTACTTCGTCCATGATGGTGGTGATGCGGTGAGGAGGGAAGCCGTTCTGGAGGCAAACGTGTCGCACTGTCTGGAGTTCGTCGTCAAGGTGTTGGGGTGAGCAGATGTTGTGGGCTCTTCTGGTCAGTGATCGGATGACTGCGTTCTTAGATGAGTTGGTGGTACAGGAGGAGTACTTGGTGTAGAGGTTGGTGTGGGTGGGTTTTCTGTAGACTGATGTGGATTTGTCAGGGTGGATGAGAACGTCAAGGAAGGGTATAGTTCCGTCTGTAGAGGGGTGTTCTTGGGTAAAGTTAAGGTCTTCAGTAAGGGAGTTAAGGAATGTAAGGAAGGATTCTGCGTGGTTTCTGTCTCTGAAAGATCCAAGGCCGTCGTCGACGAAATGGGAGTAAGTGTTCGGAGGGTCAGGACATGAGGATAAAGCTAAGGTCTCGATTTCAGCAAGGCGGATTTCAGCTAGTTCAACAATGAGGGGGGATCCCATTGTACCACCTTCGTCTTGGGAGTAGAATGAGCCGTTGAATTCAAGGTATGAGTTGTCAAGGCAAAAGTTGATAAGGGAGCTTATGGTGGTGGTGGTGACATTGGAGGGAAGACGAGAGGGGTTCTGTTCAAAGGAGGAGATGACAGTTTTGAGGGCTAGGCGCATGTCACAGGAGGTGTACAAGGATTGGACGTCTAAGGAGGCGTGGTAGTGGAAGGAGGGATTGAGAGAGGAGTCGAAGCGATGTTTGAAGTCGGAAGAGTCTTTGAGGCGTAAGGGGTTCTGGGCTAGGGGTTTGAGGAAAGATGCGAGGACTTTGTGGAGGGCTTGGAGGGGGGTGTTGTAGAAGCTGACTACGGGACGGATAGGTGCGCCGGGTTTGTGTATCTTAGGTTGTCCGTAAAGTTGAGGCCATCTAGGATGTAGGTTGCGCATCTTGTGGTATAGGTCGGTCGTGATCTTCTTGTCGGTGTGTAGTTTCTTGAGGACTGGGGGACCTAGTACCTAATCATCTTTCCTACATATATGAATTGAGGCTTTGTTAGCAGTCGACTGCTAACAAAGCCTTATTTCATATATGTAGGAGAGATGATTAGTAGAAGTCCAACTTCATTTCCATAATAAGCCTGTTAATTACCATGGATATTGGATTGCCTATTCCAAACGATGAATGAGAGCGCCAAATTAAATCGATTTACAAGTAGATGCAGTTAAAACCAGACCTTTGGGAGCTGTGTGCTTTCTCAGCTATTTAAACATTTGACCTTAGAGCCGGATAAAGTGCAAATTATCTTATCCATCTGCTGGTGCAACGTGCTTAGGTTAAGATATTAAGCTTGCAAGTTGCACGTGTGCGCGTCCCCTTCCCTGGAATATACTTGTTGTAGAGTTCCACGAGCTCATGAATAGTAAATGAGGTAGAAGCCAAGGAGACCATTTGAACTGCATTAGAACTGCATTAGAACTGCGTTAGAACTGCGTTAGAACTGCATTATAACTGCATTAGAACTGCATTAGAACTGCATTAGAACTGCATTAGAACTGCATTAGAACTGCATTAGAACTGCATTAGAACTGCATTAGAACTGAATTAGAACTGCATTTGAACTGCATTAGAACTGCATTAGAACTGCATTAGAACTGCATTAGAACTGCATTAGAACTGCATTAGAACTGCATTATAACTGCGTTAGAACTGCGTTAGAACTGCATTAGAACTGCATTAGAACTGCATTAGAACTGCATTAGAACTGCATTAGAACTGCATTAGAACTGCATTATAACTGCATTAGAACTGCATTAGAACTGCATTAGAACTGCATTTGAACTGCATTAGAACTGCGTTAGAACTGCGTTAGAACTGCATTACAGCAATAGCAGCGAATCTGGGGAAACTTGGTGGACATTGACTTTTTTCACACATTTTGAGTATGGTGACTTCAACATGATATATTGCAGCTTATTGTGGTTAATCTCAATGTTGGAGTGATGTTTTTCTGGTGCACAAAACACTGCAGTACAGTTATGTTGAATAATTGTGGTTAATGAATCCTCTATGTGGCCACTATGGTGGTTAAAATATCAGTTTTAGGGTTAACCACCATTTTGAGATATGATATTATGAACTGAGTAGTCATTATATTGAGATCATCCCATGGTGGAACTATTACAAAAGTTTTAAAACCTCACTGGGGGCATTTTGTGGTCCTAATGGTGGTTAAATGGAAAATGAAAGATGACCAATAAATATTGCTCTGATTATAGATGTAAAGTGGTGGTTGTTCATTTGTTATTGTCATTTGCTAAAAAGATGGTTAAAACGTCAAATTTTTTTGTTAACCATTAATCAAAACATTATTAATGATTTGAGTCAACTTTTTATGGTCAACAAAGGACATTTGAAAGGTTTTGATAAAAGTTATCAAGAAACGTTGTCATAAAAGTGGTTAAAAGAGCTATATGATTTGCTAGGCTGTTGAACAAGGCATCTATTAAAGTGAAAATTAACCACAATATGAACTTAAGATAATGGTTTGCTATCCAATTGAGTGTATATTTGTTTGCAAATGCATAATTGACCCGAAGTTCATGCATTCCGATCAATGTGCAGCTAAGGTGGTTAAAATGTCTTGAAAATACCCTATATTTGCACTAATTAACCATTTTTAGAGCACATATTAGCTTTGTAAAGCTATAGCTGGCCATGCTGCATTATCTAGATATAACTACCAGCTCATTTATATGCACAGAAACATTGCTGAGTCCTTTGTTGCGTCCAGCATGGTTAACAAAGGTCTACAATTGACCTAAATCAGTGTTTTTGGTCGTTTTAACCGCCATACGGCCACACATTCTTTTGCATTATCTTTAAAATCACTTATTATCATTCAGCTATCTCTCATAATCAAATATCAAAACAAAATAAGGCACCAAAAGTTCGGAGGTTGCTGAATAATGGTTAATTTGTGATGGCTTCTGTTGACCGAAAGTCCAAAATAAACATGTTTTAACCACATTGAGTCTAGGTAAACTATAGGTAAAAATATAATATTAATCATAAGCTAAACTGTACTAATCTTTGTATTCTAAATGGGGAAAAAGAAGAAACATTGTCAGTCAGTCGAGAAAATTGTCAGTCAGGCTATATGGCAGCTTTGTAGATGTTGTGACTATGCTAGGAGTGGTCCCAGGCTTGCGACTGGAATTGCGGTGTTAAATCGATTTAATGGTATACCAACGAATAACGATCCACCTCCCACTTGTTGTTTGGTACTTAGCATTAATAGTGTTAGCTGTAGCCATTTATAGCAAGAATCTTAAAACTAAAGGGGATTACAAGGAAAAGAGGAAGGAAAAAGAATAACGGAACAAACAATTAATTAAAGTATTTATAGGAGCATTAGATATTGTAATTACAAGCTTCAATAATAAATAACTGACTAAAACTTCTAATTAAAATGACACTTGGTACGCTCGCCCATTTTCACTGGTCAGTCTGAACTTCGGTTTAGCACGTTGTACACTTATTCACCTAAGTTTCAGAATTTGTTCAGTTTAGCAGAGTTAGTACCCGTGTTTCAATAAATCAAAAGATATCAGGGGAGTTCTTTAATAATGTTATGGTCATCTAGAATACCGAACTTCCTGAAAACGTTATCATATTTCCTCAGACAACGTTTAATGCCTTTAATCAGTCTATCACGGCTATATCCTCTATCAATTAGAATTTTGAATATTTTGTGAAGATGGGAGGTAAAGATATCCAATCTAGTGCAAACATTACCATATCTAAGAACTTGACTTGAAAAAACGTTGTAGCCAACCTCGGTTGGGATGTTACTGTGAGGAAATGTAAGGGATACAACATGAAAATTAAAATCATCAGTTTTGTTATACACTGATATTTCTAGTCCTTCTGTGGAAATATTAATATTTAAATCAAGGTAGTTAATGATTTTATTATTGGAACCAGCTCGCTCCATCTCCAATGAATTAGGATAAATATCTTTAATCAATTGATGAAAGTAAAGGTAGTTAATAATAGATAAATCGTCAACATATCGTTTATTATTGGATAATATCTTTGCTAATCCCATTTTCTTTTCCTGAAGTAAACGTTTCATATAATTAAATTCCTTTTTGCCAACAGTGAGATCAGCTATAGGGGAACTCGAATTTCCACCCATAGGTATACCCTTGGTTTGTATGAATACAATCCCACCGAAGACGACATAAGTGTTATAAATAATAAATTTAACAGCCTCTTTTAGGTCACATCTAAGGTTTTATGGTATTGGGACCATAGCCAAAAGTTTTGGGCACCTGGATGGTGTCCTCTGCCTTTGAAATTATGGTGATATTTCAATGCTGTGCCATACCAGGTGGTTAAGTACGCGCAAGCGCGCGCACGCGTACAAACATGGTTTCTTTGATATACCACAGTTGGTGGTTAACTGTTCTACATCAGACCTTCACTAAAAGTATTGGGCACCATAGTTGTGACATAATATATAAAGGATTTAAGCATAGACTAAATATGTTGGCCTACAGATGGTTAAGTACGCGCAAGCGCGCGCGCGTACACTATAACATAAACAAATAAACCACTTCACAGACCACATTTATTAATTTTTTTCATTTCCTTCTTCAACTATGTGTCAATGAACCATTTTTGTTCAATAATTACCATCAATTTTAACTGTACTACTCATATCTTCACAGTAGTAAGGGTTTGGGTGTTAGAGGTATGAAAAAATGTCCACTAACAAATCAGTCATATTTCGACTACTTAACCACCTAACTCAGCACCAAAATGTTCTGAGATTTTTTTCGTTGCACTATCATAAAGCTATGACATTTTAGAACCTATGTAAATATTCAGATTACTAGAATTCATATTCTGTGATTTTTAAGGGGTGGTTAAATGCTTCAAAGTGGTGTATTTCAAAGTTTCCCCAGATTTGCTGATATTGCTGATTAGAACTGCATTAGAACTGCGTTATAACTGCATTAGAACTGCATTAGAACTGCATTAGAACTGCATTAGAACTGCATTAGAACTGCGTTAGAACTGCGTTAGAACTGCATTAGAACTGCATTAGAACTGCATTATTACTGCATTAGAACTGCATTAGAACTGCATTAGAACTGCATTAGAACTGCATTAGAACTGCATTAGAACTGCATTAGAACTGCATTATAACTGCATTAGAACTGCATTAGAACTGCATTAGAACTGCGTTAGAACTGCATTAGAACTGCATTAGAACTGCATTAGAACTGCATTAGAACTGCGTTAGAACTGCATTAGAACTGCATTAGAACTGCATTATTACTGCATTAGAACTGCATTAGAACTGCATTAGAACTGCATTAGAACTGCATTAGAACTGCATTAGAACTGCATTATAACTGCATTAGAACTGCATTAGAACTGCATTAGAACTGCATTAGAACTGCATTAGAACTGCATTAGAACTGCATTAGAACTGCATTAGAACTGCATTAGAACTGCGTTAGAACTGCATTAGAACTGCATTAGAACTGCATTATTACTGCATTAGAACTGCATTAGAACTGCATTAGAACTGCATTAGAACTGCATTAGAACTGCATTAGAACTGCATTAGAACTGCATTATAACTGCATTATAACTGCATTAGAACTGCATTAGAACTGCATTAGAACTGCGTTATAACTGCATTAGAACTGCATTAGAACTGCATTAGAACTGCATTATAACTGCATTATAACTGCATTAGAACTGCATTAGAACTGCATTAGAACTGCGTTATAACTGCATTAGAACTGCATTAGAACTGCATTAGAACTGTATTAGAACTGCATTAGAACTGCACTATAACTGCATTATAACTGCATTAGAACTGCATAAATGAACAGCTAAGATAAGCTGATAAGGATTAGGGCGCGCAAATTAACCACGTGTGTCCTGGTGAAAGAGTCGTTCAGACCACGTGTTTTAATTATTAGCTCACTATTCATCTTCCTGCAGTGTCTGCAGTGTCTGCAGTGTCTGCAGTGTCTGTTAAACTTTGGGATATATAGACTATTTTCATATTATACCATTATTTTAGAATGTACTCTTTATTTATTATTTGGTATAAAGTTTTCTAAAAACTCATTATTTCAGGTGTTCACGACGATGAACATCACCAAGCGATCAGGCAATTCAATCGACGTAGAGGACTGCTGATCTTAGAGATGCTATGGTAACACTGCGTTCTAAGTTCTTAGAGCGCAGTTACCATAGCGACCACGGGACCTTGAACCTAGTTTAGGGTTCCGTGAAGAGTTAACTCGCTGAGATCCTGGTTATCGTGGTGAAATCTCTCTGTTCACGGAATATACTGGAATGTAAACATGATGTACTTCATACTTGTATAGTATGTGTACGTGACTGTGTACTCCGTGTACATTGTTAGTGGTTACCATGGTAACTGGATAATGACGCTCCACGGCCAATCTGACCTGTCAGAGCCTAGGAACTGATGATGGTTTTAGTTGATGTTATCTTGTTTTCGTTGGAGTGTAGACATGGAATAAGCTGCTTCACACATTGATCAGAAACTTTATAATGATTAGATAGTCGGTAGTACCATGTAGCTCCGTGTAGCTCGAGAGTTTAGTATTTCTGATTTGTGTAACCTGTGATTTGTCGGCTTTTTATAAGGAGCAGTTTGTTCTTAGTTCATAATTTATATAGTAACTAATGATGAAGTTTTATAGTCAATTTTAATTTGTTGATTGGGGGTGACACTGTCCGATTTGCCCATCTACCAGGAAAAAAATCATATGAGCTAGTAATAGAATGAAAACGTTATTATCATTTCACCAAACAGCTTGTCTATAAACTTGACTAGAAAAAAAAAACTTTTTTGGAGAAGGATACAATTTTTAAAACGGCCGGTGACACCCCCCTTTATTCGTCTTTGAAGTATTATACATATTTAGATGTATAGTGATGAAATAGAGTTCACACGATTTCTAGAACTTTCAATTACTGAATCTAAAGTGGAAATTGTGATCGGCATATATTCTCCTGACCCCAATAAAAACTGATCAAACATTATTTATTTTCGTCGGTGAGCCCTCCTTTTTGGGAGAGGTGATATCAGAAGGTCTCCTGTTTTAAGGACTAACTGTACTTACTTGCTTTAATTGTTTTTATCTTACGTACATGTAATAGTCCGGTATTTTGGCTTCTTATCAAGTTCACAAGAGTTCATTGCTATAATTTTACATTTTGGTGATCTCGAGGATTGATAAATTTGTGTCGAAAAAACGATTTTAAACATCTGTGGGACACAAATTTCTTAGTCAAATTGCACCGTTTTAGGATCAAAGCATTAAATTCATTTATCGAATGGTACAATTGCAGAGTGTCCAAAGTTTACATTCGAATGATCAAACAATTTAGTTTACAATATTCGAGTTTTACTTCTAACTTTATGTTGAAAACACAGAACAATCTATATAAAGACTATGTTACTCAAGCTTGCTTCAGATCTCAAGTTTAAAGTTCTCTTAAAACTTTCTGATTCCAATTTAATTGTCACGGATGTTTTTATTCTGATTGTCTGATTTCACGCTCAAGTGTCCTGACTTATCTAACAATTCTAAGTCTTCGCGTGATCCTGGAAGTTCATTACATCTCCCGTAGTAATCTTCAGCAAAATCTGACTTCCTGCTTGCTTATCTGAGCTTTAACTGAATCTATGAAGTCCAGGATATAAGATGAGCTGTGTTAAGGATACACCACATGGCGTTGTTGGGTTATTCAGGTTCTGGTAATGATATTATGGTTTGGTCCCTGCAGCAGAAACTGAGTTCGTCTTGCTGTCAAGTGTGCCAGTGAGTCGTTCAGTGCCCGATCTGAAGAACACAGAGGTTAATGATAAACATTCCACACAACTTTAGATATGTCGATGAGTAAATTAATGGTGGTTCAAGTATTATTTATATAATAGTCACTCTAGTCTCTACTTCTAGAAGAAATGACATTATTAAACTGAATGTGAAACAGTGAAATAGTTGTAGGCTTCAAAATGACAGTATTACAAGTCTTAAATATAAATGTGATAAAGTTGTAAGCAGTAAGCTTCAAAAGTCCAGTATTTAATAACAAGTCTACCTGAGTAGGTGTGGTTGTAGTTCCTATTGGGTTCGCACGTGTACATCATGGAGGGTAGGAAGTGGTTTAGGCTCTGGAGACTGTCCCTCAGTCTGTTCTTGTCCTTCTGTCTCCTGTTCTGCCACCATCTCTTAACCTGATACAGATGGATTACTTATAATACATCGCTTCTAGTTCTAGCAGACAGGAGTTACCCTGCAGTTCAACGGCTCAGTTTTGCAACCAGATTTGCTCACATTTTTTCTCAAATTTTCGCGACCGGAAATGAAATTCAAAAATATTTCTCCGCACGGAGAAATATTTTTGATATGACCCAAAACTCCGTGAAAGCAGTTTTAACCTGGGCGCTCGCGTGTGAAATTTCATTATAAACCCCTCCGGGTTAGAATAGGATTCTGATAATCCCGGCTCCCGCTAAATAGATTCTGATAATCCCGGCTCCCGCTGTTAGTTTTTTCCCGCTGAATAAATAACCCCAACACAGCTTCTATAATCCCGCCCCGCTAATTTGGCTCAACAAGATTTGTTTTGTTTTGATATTCCATGAGAATTTCAACCGCGCACTGTCACGTGTTTTGATGACGTGTATCACGTGACTAACTACTACGACGCGCATTGGTAAAAAATGTCACGTGACCTATGGCTTAACGTAAGAACTATAAATACACTTGATCTACGTATCGGTCTTACTGCAGGCGCTGGCAAAACTCCAGCACACTGCTTACATTACTTAAACTCTAACATTAATTGGACCAGTTCCAGAACTTGTCTCGACGGTTACATTTGTTCGGTTAATTTTGTCGTGTTTGATATAAGCCATGTATTAATAACTATTATAGTCGTCTACTTTGATGAACTTCATGACACGATATCATTATTAGCTCCACCTTTTATCGCTTGCCAGGCTTAACTCGACGCCCCTTATCGATATTCATTCTACGTTCTGACTGAGGAATAATGTTTAGATATAACGCCAATTTCAAATGTCATAGTACCTTAGTTGTATTTATTTGGTAGTCCCCAATTCCATTTCATATTTTCCATACTGATCTCATATTATAGCTAGAATTAAGAGTAAAATGTCAAATTTGTTGGTCCTAGCACTAACCCGGAGGGGTTTATAACACATAACACCGGCACGCTTAAGTTATATTAAAATAACCCCTCGTGCTAAAGCACGTCGGGGTTATTTTCATAATAATCCCTCGTGCTTCGCACTCGAAATTATTATAAATTTTTCCCGCGCGTCGCGGGAAAAATTAAAATATAATCCCTGCGCATGCCGGGGTTATGTGTGTTATAATGCGTCCACGTGCGCGCGCAAATCTGCGTGCAAATACCAAGGCCGTGGGAACGTACATTGTAAACAAAACTGCCTTCCCGGTAGTTTTGCACGGAGTTTTGCCTTTCAAAACTCTTTTCGCGGAGTTATGTGTCAAATCTGGTCGCAAAACTGAGCCGTGGAACTGCGGCTGTTATACATATAATTTGAATCATCAACAGTTATGATGTACAGTCGGCGTGAGCTTGAGATAACCGTACAAGCAACGTGACGTCATGCAGAGCAAGCAACGTCACGCAGAGCAAGGAACGTGACGTCACGCAGAGCAAGCAACGTCACGCAGAGCAAGCAACGTGACGTCACGCAGAGCAAGCAACGTGGCGTCACGTATAAAGCTAGAGATTAGAACCTTACCTGAGTTTCTGATAGTCCGGTTTTCTTAGCGATCTGTCTCCGGTTATCTGCTGTGAGATAGGTCTTGCTTTCTCCATGGTAGATACCCTCCATGAACCCTATCTGTGGGGAGACACACATATCAGCTGAGTTATAGAATGTTAAAAATTAGTCGCTTGGTTTCCCAGTGCTCAACAAGCAGGAGCATCATATTTCAAACAAGTGAAACATTCAAAATAGGCGGTTGAAATAGGTGCCCTCTTATTTCGAGTGTTACACTTGTTCATAGAATGTTATGTAGTTTAATATTTATCAGTTATTTAGAATATATATTCGCATGTATCCACAATATAATATATTTACATTACACGTTCAACGTGATATCATTATCAGTGCAGTGTGTACAACACCAACTACACCGATCAGTTGCCAATCTGCGAAACATTTAATTATTATTATCACTTCGAGATGGCAGGGCCTACTCTCATGCTGTCTACTTGTCTATAGGTGATGATTAATTCTGAAAAACTAGGGACAACTGGGGTAGAGCAAGTCACGCGAAATGTCGAGGTTCTGGGATCATTCCCCAGTTGTCCCTAGTTTTTCAAAATTAATCATCACCTATACACTATAGACAGCATGAGAGTAGGCCCTGCCATCTCGAAGTGATAGTTTAATATTTGGTAAGATTAAGGAGAAATATTTAATCTAAAGTAAAGATATTTGTGTTATGCGTTGTTATGGGAGTTGTAAAAGGGTTATTGACCATTGATCGATTGATTCACTGTTTGGCGAGTTATCGATAATCGGAAATTAATTATCAGTAAATAATAAAATCCCTGAATCTAACGCCTCATACCTGTGAAGGAGCGAAGACTGATCGGGATGGTTTTCTCTTCGTCTCATAGCCAGTCATGTAATTAGAATCAGTGTCTGCGGAATAATTAATTGAGTTAGATGATAAGATAATTACCCGAGCATTATGAATTGGAGACAAAGCAGCTGCTAGATGGGAGGCATGTAGACGGTATTAATTTTAGCTCGTCATTAACAATTGAGAAGTTAATTTCCATGATATTAATTTACAGTGCGTAGGCGGAGAGAGCGACTCAGGAAGAGAAAAAGTTGTTCCCGGATTGTCGTGTATTCAAATTATTCCTTCTCACCTAGACATTGGCTGGGTAATTGTGAGGGATAGGAGTCAGCCTCAGGAGAATGAGTTGCCTATTTTCCCACTCTCCGCATGCAACAATGAGATCAGAATCCAAAATCGCAAGTGCAGTAATTCCTCAAAAATGTTGTGTTGAACTTTGGAAAGGAGAAAGTCTGTCTGATTCCATATTTTATGCAAATATTTGAATTTTGATTCCGCCTGTAGCTCCAGAGTCTTTGAATCTATTGAATGCGTGGGTGCAAATTCTCACAGTTTGATTATGACTAAATCATAAGGTGTTTTGTGTCAATGCCTTTCAGAATCGTCAATATTTACACTCCACTCTTCCCTTGTCTTTTTACGGTAACAATCCCTACAATGGCAATGCACGGTCATAAGCTGAAATGTTCCATTGTCCCCCGGTACGATTCCTACGAAATATTATAAGACGTGTTAAGCTCCACCATCAGCTGGGCAGTTCCGTTTAATGAAATCACTTTAATCCAATAAACTCGCCTAGCAATTCATTTACCGCATATTATCGAGATCAATTGACTCCAATTTGAGATTTAGCAGGCAGCAATTCATAATGTTAGTGTTAATTCCTGAAGCGATTGTTCTAAAGGTGATCAATATCAGGCTCTAAAAATGTGGCACGAGTTTCTTAGGTATTAATGATAGCAGTAACTCTTAATTCCTCCCTTTTATTCCGCTAATATAATGGGGAATGTTCTTAATGCGGGAGACTAACGGACACAGAACCGTATTCGCCACAAATATATCACACTTATAACATGTTCCCGAGGTCCTGTAATTTAGTAGGTAAATGTGAGGTCAATTCATTATCGAATGGTGCTTCGTAACTTCAGTACCAGGAGTTTTCATGGCACCAGCTGGCCCTCTCAGCTGCTGCTGTCCCTTTTTGTGTGATACCAAGCGTTAACTCTGGTAAATACCGAGCGTTTTGATCTAATGTGTTTTTCTTATCAGGTGCGATAAATGACGAAAATGGGTGGTCAAGGTTTGAAAGATTAAAACTTGAATACCACCAAGGGGGAAGTTAAACCTAATTTAGAACGGAAAATGGGATCAAACGTTTCCTGACTGATGGACTTGGAGTTAGTGTTCTTAAGAACATAAGGAACAACTGATTAAAACGCTGGGAGGACTTGTTGATCGGTTCGTACATGAGGTAAGTGTAATGATTGCTCAGTGAATGGTTCATACATGTAGAATACTGTGTATGATGCATCATTGTCCTATTGTATCAGTCCAATGGGTTGCAAAGGGTGATTTACTGTTGATAAAGGGCCAATAAATTTCATTTAAACGAGTTTAATTAGTTTTTGCAGGAACTGCAAGCTAATTAAGTCAACTTAATAGCCGTCGTGTGTCAAGAAATATACCCAATTTCCTCAGATCACTATTGGTCAATTAATTATGCTTCAACCTGTCAAAATACTGTATGATATCCAATATTCATACACTTAAATGCTTATAAAATGAAGCAAATATGAAATAAATTTCTGCAAATCCTCATCAAGATCAATTGAGACGGGTAACTCTGCACGATGTTAAATCGAATGGGTCGCATTTCTTTGCTTAGAGTTAGACGTTTTTTTCGAATTCAATCCAGTGCATTGGAGATCGAATAAAATTGAAATATTGCAGATTAGATTCGTCATTGTATTTATTGGCAGTATTACCTTATTACCGATGTAGATTACCATATTGCAAGTGTAACTTTATGAGATCATGGTGGGAATTAGAATTTTATGGTGTATTTTAAAGTTGTTGTTAAATGGAGGAAACAGGTTCGATTATCGATGCTATATTTTATCAATATCATGATGCTGCGCACTTTCAAATTATATGTAATGGAGCACTCTAGTCACTTAGTCAAACAACCTTTAAAGGACCAGTTAACTGAAAAATTTGTAGTCTCCAATTTGGCTAAGATTTAAATCAGCTGTGACAAACTGGTAAAGAATCGTATCGCCGAAAGAACCAACTCTCTAGCGTACGTGTAACGCGTGTTATTGCAATAATAAGCTGTGGCCTCGTGACGTCACGAAGTCCCTCAGTGCGCGCTGGCATATAGCGTAATACTAATACGTTGCAAATGTTTATCGTTGTCATTAAAACACATGTAACTCACTCAAATTTTAGAATTATGACTATTACCCTAGTTCTCCCAAATCCTTATAGTTTTGGCTATCATCCTAACTAAAGGAATAGCTGATTGGATGTACAGTGCTCACGTCATGATTTTAAACAGTGATATAGGTTCTTGAACAGTGGCGGGTGAATGTACGGTTAGAAAGTTTCTGCTATTACAGTTCTTATGTCATATGTGATAATTTCGGATTGTTTTCATTGCTTAATTACACAAGCAGCCAGCAGGGAGACTGTACCGATTATTTTTCCCCAGTCCATGAAACTCTAACGAATTTAGAAAGGATCTAGATAAGTAGGAGTTTGTTCAATTCCGAGAGCAATTATATTTATAGCATAGCGAAATTTCTAATTTTAATCCGCATGTGTCAGCCAGTACAGGAGACAAGAAGTCTGGCTACTTTACGGCCGTTCCTCTGGGAGTTGGGACCATCAGTAGAAGTAGCTTCTATCAGAACAGTGCCGTGGGAACAGAATTCCCGCCAAAATACCCGGTCTACCAAATAGTAATACAGATTGGAGTTCGAGTGTACGGTGTGCGGTGTGTTTTGAATTAGACTTGCGGCTTACCTAGTTGTTATCCTAATTGCATTATCATCGGTACATAACATAAATAAACTACTGGTAAGTTTAAATACCAAGTGCAAACGTGTTCAGTCGATCGACCCACTGAACAACTATAGAACTTCCAAGACCCTATTATTCTTTGGCCATATATTACGGCACGATCGATTGTTAGATGGTTAAAGTTAAACGACCAACGCTAATCTATACAATTCTAAAACTATGAGCTAGCACTTTAATCTAAAAATACACTTTTTATATTACTCCTGATTTCGCCACAGGTTGATCATGGACACTAACAGCTTAATTTGAGATAAATGACTTATGAGTTTCTCTAAAGTTAACTCTAAAGTTGTGCAGTCCAGTCATTTTTGGACATTTATGGAAATGAACCTGCAAATGTTCAGATACTAACGAAACTTTGCACAGACCTTCCCGAAGGTATGAATAAACGATTTTCGTTTGGAGACATTTTTTGACAGTGGAGAAAACCCAGGAGGGCCACGCCCATATTGACCCAATAACGTAACCGACCCCTTGCTTCTGAAGGTCGTAGAGACTTCAAAATAGGCTTAAACGAAGCCACATATGCATGTTTATATAGGAGTTATTGAGCAACACATGGCCTAAAATCCATACTTTTCGAGAAATTCGCCAAAAACCATTTTGGGCGTGGTGCTGAGCCCATTTTCGATAGGATTGTGATAGAGTCTTTAGACAGGGTGCAAAAGAACCGCAATTAGCATATTAACATATGACTTACGAACAAACATAAGCCTTAAAGTGCTTACTTTTTCAGTTATTGGCGAAAAACTGATTTTCGGTTCCAGAAATCATGCAAAACTATGGGTATCTGGTAAATTGAGCTATGAAGGCCCTAAAGGTTTTTAAATGTGTGCAAATTGTGCAGAATGGCCATGTTTATATACAACTTATGAAGCAACATGTACCCTAAATTACTTACTTTTCGAGTTATTCGGGGAAAAACATTGTATTATGTCCATTTTCTACCTGTAAAATACAGTCTCACGGGCTCCTCTGCGCGCGCAAGGGACTTCGTGACGTCATCGCCAAAATAATACAAACGCTATTTACACGCGTTAGAGAGCAGTTAGAGATTTAGGAATTTCGACTCGTTGCTTAGTTTGCTATTTGTCACAATCTGTCAAAATATGAGGATAACTTTTTTTTCAGTTAACTGGTCCTTTAATCGACAAACAAAATTGTCAAAAAACTACTTAGTGGGATTCTGTGATTTTAATAAATAGCATTACCATGACTTTGTTCAAGAACCAAACTAATGAGTAAAAAAATGAAAAGCGAAATTAGAAAGTGATCAGGATTATTGTGTTTTAAACCGTGATAAAACAGATGATACGTTTTTCATTATCACGTGTACTTCACTACTATCCTTTTCCTAACACTAACAGTGATGCACATGGAAAGTGGTGATACACTGATAGTGATACATTTGGTGTAGAGATTTAAATCTTAGTCATTTCATATTATGAAACTGATATGCCCCAGATCGCTCAAGTCAAGCTATTTCACACTCTGTTTTCATTTGAAGATTCCAGGGCTATGGATGATGGAAATTGGAATTGTAAGCTTTTTCAACCTCGAATTATCAACAACAAAAATTGGTACCCAAAAGAGCTGGAATAATACATTGACCTCTTAAGATATTCCGAAAAGTAATGCATTTCACATTTGGAATGTACATGTATCTTAATCTCAGTTCTACAATGAATCAAAATATAGCATGAAAGGACGTGACCCAGTATAGTTCAAATCTTTCGGATCAAATTTTACGAATCGAATTATTTTTAACTGCCGACCTAAAATAATGGTATATTTTAACAAAATTTAAAATTAGCCATAGTTTACGATATTTCTAATATTCTATGTTAATTTAATCTTTACATAAAATCATTTGTATTCACGTTTGTTTATCATATATGTAAAACATTGATTGAAATTACATTAATCTATGATAGTGATACAATTTGTACGTTGAGCATTCGTACTTTATCATAACATTGTCAACATCATCTGGTCAAATAGTTATAGTAATACACACCTCTGAAATCAGGAAATAATCCCATTTGAACTGGATCACTGGTCCAAAATAAGCTGACATTAGTTTTACAAAAACATGCTTATATCCCAATAAAAATCAACAGTTTAATTAATTTTTTGAATGTTGGGCGTGCAAATTTTATTCTGAAATTTTATATAATCATGCAGTTGGTTGCAATTTTTTAGAGATATTCACACACGTGCAATTTACATTACTACACGTGCAATTTTAATTACCAGGAACTGACTCCGGACTAGATGCTTCAACCGTTGATCTGCCACATTTGCATCCGATGTGACGTTCCTCCGTTTCTACACAAAAATTATTGATTTTATTTAAAATGTTCGAATTTTTCGTTGGACAATTATGACCGCAGAAAACTTCTCTTATCATCGATTTAAATTTGATGGGCACTACAAATTTGATATTATATTATATCCTGTTATTTCGAACTTTTGAATTAAATAAAAAGTCTGACTGCTGCTACCAAAAGTAATAAGGTGTGTTGATCAAAGGCACAAATTAATAAAAGCTTTTTAGAATTAGAAAGCTGTGAACATTTCATTTTGGAAATCAGAATAGCGTAATTTGTATTTAATATTTGCAGCTTGAGATTTTGTAATAAACATGTGCCATGAAGTTCAAGGATTGGTCAGGTATTTAAACTCTCCTCTGCCAAGAAATTGAATAAAACAATTTGCAATCAAAAACTTTTACCTAATCGAAAGCTCGGAATTTTCAGATTGGTTTATGATTTGTATGAGCACACCGTTTGTACAGATTATGGTGCCCAAGGCATTTGTATGGTCGAATTTGATGTTAAGTAAGGCATCCTACTATAAGTATAACGGATTGATTATGTTGAACAACGGTTCGATCATATTCTAGTCTTAACTTCATCCATCGAAATACAAATATTTTCGTGCTCATGATTCTAATAGTAATTCTAACATGAAGTAGAATCTGATGAAATGAAGTGTTATTAATTTAGAGAAATTTAAATAAAGTTCACAACAATGCAGCTAAAATGTAAAGTACTGTCTTACTGTTTAGGTTCACAAATTAATAATACTTTCAATTCAAATGCAACAATTTATTCTGCAACATAAAATCCTGGTGTATGATAACTATAACTAACCTGGCTGTTTTCTGACTTCCGTAGTCAAATTGCTAGTCTGCATCGCAAAGCTGGGTTCATAAGGTTTGGCCGAGAAGTAAGACAGGTGTTTCGGATTAAACAAATCAGCAGCAACAGGAGCAGGGAGCTGCAGAGAGCCCGGTCTCAAAATATTATCCATATCAAAAGGTCTCATTATTTAAATAATCGGCGAATAATAATATTCCAAACTACTAAATTTTCCGTCGGAGGACGAATGAGTGTTTTATGGCACTGGGACGAATGAACGTTAATGAATTGTCTAGCAGGGGTCTAGCACTGCAGCAGTATATAACCGGGGGTTAGCGGAGTTGCCGGTCACCACCACCACGCGTTATCACGCTCGCAGCCTCACCCCGCCTCCTGATCATGATACCACCACCTTATTGGATAATTGGGGATGTTTAATATTATAAAGGAGCTGTGTTATGGGGTAGCTTGTGCTGTGAGTTATGTGATAAAGTGGGGTTGATTGAGGGGTTGATTGGATATAGTTGTGGAGATGTTTGGTATAGTAATAGTATTACTGATCTGCAGATGCGACCTGTTTACTGCGGGTTTTATTGGAAGCTGCAGAATAGTCCACGTCTCTCTAGACACGCTGGAGACAGGCCCCTCACCCAGGACTTAGAGTTCGAGTAAAGTGCTGATGATTTGAGTTACATGTGACATGCCCACGTGCACTACCACGTGATCTCACTCTCTCTTATCAGGGTCAGGACTCTGATAATGAATTGCCGTCGAGCCCTGTTCGTCATGAATTTAGCCGTTAACTGGAAAATTAAATGTCAATTGTTGGGCCGCGTGCCTGGTCGCTTAGCAGCACGTGTGACATACAGTGCGATAAAATATGTCCTGCCAGCTTTGAAACAACTAATGAATTGATGGGAATTTTGTCCTGGGGTGACTGCCAAGGTTCTTAGATTCTGGTCACTGCCTTGAACTTGGAGACTGACTAGACAATGTTTTGCTTTTCGTCGTTTTTACGGATAATTAGTTTACCAAAAAAATTTAACACCATCATTATATGACATACGAATTGATGCGATATAAGAAATATCCCATGAAATATTTGGTGAGGAGACCCAGTCAGCCAGCCAGCCTTTTCTCAAATATTCTCAAAATATTCTCAAAATATTCTCAAAATATTCTCAAAATATTCTCAAATGTCTATACTTGTTTGTTTGTTTGTTTATAGAACCCGTCCCCAATCTCGTATCGGAAAATGACTAAACTCAGGTCTGAGTGTGAATACGGGTGGTACCTGCAAGAGTGTTCATTAAGCATTTAGAGTTCTGTAAAACTGCAGTTACAATTGTGCTAGAGTATTTTTAGTATATACGATTGGTATCAGAAATATATCCCTACATGCTTCCAAAATTTGTAAAGCCGTAGTACATACATATCACACTACACCGGAGCCTACACAGTATTCTCAAAATATTCTCAAAATATTCTCAAATGTCTATACTTATATCAATACCTTATTTTTAAAAAACTGCTTACTAGTTATTTTCCAATCCAAGTTAATTAGATTGTGCAATTATCATATAATCCCAAGTTATTGTTCGAATTGTATTGGCAATCATTATAAGTTCTCCACTGGGTAAACAGAGCGTTCACTATGGGTAGACACCGCAAGATTCCTGGCAATGTACCAGGATCCAGCCGTCTCAGTCACCTCGGGCTTTGTATCCAGGACAACTATCACGTGGTTTTCTCCACTTTCTGAAAGAAGTTACTTTTATGCTCGATGGACTCACTTTTTGTGAATTTTTAATTATAACTATAAAGCTATAACTACTCTGTCATATAATATTTAGTACTAGTAGTCAGTGGTTATTATTGGAAATTCACAAATAATTCAAAGTTATTCCATCGCTATTTCAACTGATGAAGACATGTTGCATATTGTGCGTGGTATGGTGACACGGACAGCCAATAATTTGATTAACTGGAGCATTGATTACAGTTTTTAAATTGAACATCCCGTCATAGTGATTACAGGACTTGGGGCACTTTTGAAACATTTTTGTTCGTAGTACTGTGACTGCACCCTATCACCGCCCACTCTGGACATTTTAGATTTTTGTTCTTGCGCGAATTTATTAAATGCAGTACGTGATCATATACAAATATATTTGATTAAAGTATTAGGGCATCAAAATATTTGATTATGGGTATATTAAGGATTACGGTCAGCTAGTTCAATCCAAATGCAATTATAATTTATTTACTGACTATAATAATAGTAGTAGTACCATAACTTAAAGGCTAATACTAATATAGATCTTAATGTGATTTTTAAATCTCGCGTGACATTGACAAAGAGACATGATTGACATGACATGACGTATGTTGTCACCCTAGCCGGTGGAGCCTCCAAAAAACACGGAGACCCAGCACGTTTGTAAGGCACGTCCTTACGGCAGGATAATGAGTGCTATAATTAGTACAAGCTCCTGTAGCATGTATAGTATATAGCACTAGCATGTATAGCATGTATAGCATGTATAGAATGTATAGTATGTTTAGTATGATGTAGATGTAGTGTACCTTTTTTGTGTACCTTTTTTTATTTCAGATATCACGATATAATAGCCCGGTAAATTGTTAATAATGTAATTTACATTTCATTTCTTCAAATTTTTGACTAGCAGTAGCATATTGATATTCCAAAAAAATTATGACAACACGTACATATGTATATAATGAGCGTTCTCAAGGTCCCAAGGTCAAATGACACAGAGAATGAAATCGGTCGCTCGCTTTTTCCATATGTTTATTGCCAACTTTGATTGACGATGTCAACCCTTCGGGATCGTTGCTAAGCAAGAATTAATGATGGCGATGCGAAGCAAGAATGATAATTCTCGCGGCGCGTACTTTAACTTAGAGAAACAGTGGCAAATGATAAATAGTCTATTAATTATACTTATAGGGATAGCTACAAGACCTCCTCAGAAACTGTTAGTTCTGTAGATGAGCTTGGCACGAGGGTCTCACTGGTCCTGTGCTTTAAGCCAATGGTGTACTGTAATTCCCATGAATTCTCGTAATATAATTATAGTTATACATGAATGTATACATTTGGGAGTGGAGAGTTCTCAGGGCATCAAGCTTGCGGTTGCAGATATCCTTAGCAGTGGGGTAGAGGGTCCGGAGCGTTATTTTCCGTAGAAGCAGCATTGCTTGCTGAAGGGCAGGCTCGTCCAGATATGCCTCAGATATGCAGCGTTTTCTGGTCAAGTGATTAGTGAGTTCTTGATAATCCCACTGCGTTTATAGCTGCTGCAAGAGATTCTCCATCGTTGACTCGGTCCAAGATTGATTTGTACTCTGTTTGTATTCCAGGCAGGGAGAAGGTTCTTTTGCGAGTATTGGATCGGACTGGACCAGGGCCGCTCATTTTAGAGGAAGTGTTACTGTAATCCTAATGAATTTGGGTCTCATTATCTACCTCGTTCTTCTCTTTTCAGCAACCCAGTATTTCCCTTTCGGTAAGGATACCATGCTCAAATATCTGAAGACAGGACAGTACGAAGTGTACTATTTTAGTCAGTGTAATAAGCGCCAAGCGCGAGCACAGAACTTTTTTTCTCCGATTTCGATAAATTTGGTTTTGTTTGTTTTGAAACCCCACGGTGGAGGTTGGCGTGTGCCGCAATTTATTAATCAATGGTTATTACATAAATGAAATTATAGAAGTCACACTAAAATATAATAATGTAAAATAAAATATATTAAAATAAATGCCCTACTAAAAGTACTATATAACTAACGGTCTGCAAAACTGGTTGAAGTCGCAATTTGTAAACATGCTAATTACGATTTAATAATAATAGATAAAAAGTTTTGCGCGGCAGATGTAAATTCGGCATTGCATAATGGCAGTGAAATTAAAATGATATGTTGTTGATAAAAGATCATGGTCATTTGTCGCGAGTGATCTTTCTTTACGCGTTGTCGCTTACTAACTCGGTGTTGTAGTCTATCTGCGAGCGCCCTTCTCTTTGAGACTTTTTTAGCCCAGGTATACTATAAAGTAAGAAATTTGGCCAATTTTCATCGTCTCCTGAGCTTTGCAGCTTGAGGAGTTCGCGCTTAGCTGAATTTTTAAAGATTTCAATTGAAAAGGTAGAACTTGGAATAGTTATATCCTTACTTTGTTTTGTAATAGAGAGCATGGGTCCTTTGAAGAAAAGAGTATTTCTAAATGTTGGGCCGTTGTAAGTTGTGAACCAAGAAAGGTTATTTTCGTATGTGGAATTATAGGTGGGAATATCGTGAGGGAAAAGTTCTTTGATGGATTTAGGGAGAAGGCTTGGCATGTTCCTTACTTTGTGTAGTAGAATAAGAGCGTTTTTTACAATGACGCTATGGACTGTTAGGATATTATGCAATCTAAACGCACTTTTTGTGTGCTCCGGGGGATTGCCGTCTTTATATCTATAATTTACATATCCTGACATAACAGCTCTAATTCCCTGCTTTTGCTTGGTGAACAGAGATTCAATGTGACATTTTGAGGCAAATCCCCACACTAAAGAACAGAAATTTAGATGGGATTGGATAAGGCTTTGGAAAATGTTTAGGCGGGCTTTGATAGGTAGAAGGTGCTTTAGCTTATACATAACTCCGAGGTAGCGACCCATCTTTATTCTAACTGCTGTAATGTGTTTTTGCCAAGTAAGCTTTTCGTCTAGGATCACTCCTAAAAATCTTGCTTCAGTCTTACGTTCGATTACAGTGTTGTCAATGGACAAATTAAAGCCGCTGAAGTCGATCTTTTTCTAGTGAAAATCATGTAACACGTCATTTTTACATTTAAAGATAGCCCATTAGCGCACCTACCCAATCTACAAGACGTGAAATTAGCTGATTAGCTTTTAATTGTATTTCTTCTAGGGTGGTTCCACTAATTAATATGTTTGCGTCGTCGGCATAAAGGATGAACTTTGCAAAATCACTAATTCCAGGTAGGTCGTTTATATAAATTACAAATAAGAGAGGTCCTAAAATGCTACCCTGAGGTACGCCGTAAACTATGGGCATGCTAGAAGAGCAAGTTCCGTTTAAAGTTACGTATTGAGATCGATTACAAAGGTAAGATCTAAACCATTCGTGCGCGACTCCCCTGATCCCACAATGGTCAAGCTTCTTAAGTAAGGTCTCATGATCAAGCACGTCAAAGGCTTTACTGTAATCGAGCAGGAGCAGTAGGGAAATTTGTTTCTTATTCAGAGAGTGTAGTATAGAATTTTGGGCA